GTTTTTTTTTTTTTTTTAGGTTTCCCTGTACACCTGGGTTTTCAAAACTTTGCTAAATCCTCCAACCCATTTGTGCGTGTTACTGAATTTCTGCTCTGTATGGGCAGAAGTTACAGGAGATGTCAGGAGCACCTGGCATTAGCCCAACCCTTCTCAATGGATGAATAGTAATAGTTCAGGCAATGTTGGTTTTGAAAAATCACATTCTTCTCCTCCATCAAATGTTTATACCTTAGTCCTGTTGTCTTGAATGTCAGTAGTAAAACTTCCATTGATCTGTGCACAACAGGAGGCCTACAAGGAGCAATTTTATAGCCTATTGTAACTATTTAAAAGCCAACACTCTTGAAAAATTTTAGTTCATGGTGAAACAAGAAATTGAGTCTTTTATTTGGTATTTTCCCTGAAACGTAAATATACAAACCTGACTGGAAAGTACCAAGTATTTTTCTACAGTAACATCAATATAAATTCACTATGTTTTTGACAGGAGGCAGATTTTATAGATGTGATAAGGTGTAAGAAAAGGGCAGTATGCTTCTCTCAGATCTTCTCTGTGACCTGTTCCAGTGGGAGGGAGTGGGTATTTAGAGATGTGGACTCATTTTAGCCATCGAAAGGTGATCCCCTTGTGAGCTGAGTTTGCTCCTCTGCACTATGATATTATACATGTCAAGAGTAAGGGTAACAAATTACAAGAGCCGTAGTGCCGGGTATAAGAGGTCCTTATTTTGAGATACAGTATAAATAAACCATAAATACATATGTATATTAAAAACAGAAATTACTTTTTTACTGCAGCCCTTTATAATGCCCTTCCCACAAGTTAGTGATCTGCCTCTTTTTGATTAAACAGAAATCGTTTATTCCTTTAATTCTTTGGATTGCAGGTCATTTAGCTTGTGTGCTTTGTGTTTATGAAGTAGCCATACATGGACTAAGTAAACTCATAATCTGAAATATGATGCCTGTCCTTTTCCTTCTGATCTTACTGTTGATTATAATTGTCCTTTTTACATGGCTTCTCCCATCAGTTTTCAAGTTGTAGCTATGAAAAACTCTGAGACTTTCCCACAAAATAGTGACCATATACCAAATGGTTTATTTCTGTACCCATAGCAAATAGGATGACATAAATAATTTGTCCTTCCCATCGCCTGTCACCAACTAACTGTATTTTTCTGTGCATTTTCTCTTGCTTTGCCACTCCACTTTTAATGGAATATGAGGGAAAGTCCTAATAGCCTCTCTTAGTATTTAACAGTTTATAATTAAAAGTTGTTTAGTTCCTGGACAATATGAAAGAGGGTCAAACTTTAGGATTGCTGTGGGAAAAATTATAGGAAATTTTAATGACACAGTTTTCTTGTGCGAAACTGCTGTAACAGAGTTTCTACTATCTTTATAAAAACTAAGGATATCCTGTTATGTTCTATGAACTGGCTTAGTATTGTTTACTTTGGTGAAGTATAAGCTGAGGATGTATTCCTCCAAATAACTTCTAAATTTATTATTTGATTATGTTAAAATAAATTGTTCTCAAATTATAGTTTTAAATAACATTTTTGTTCATTTTATTACAAGGGTAGGTTGGTCGTTTATTATTAAATTAATTGTTTTTTTAATGTATTCAGTCAAAAAAGTTTTTCTTTCTGAGTTTTCTGGAGGATTTCTGAGTTTCTTTTTACAGCTGATGCACAGTGTTGCATCTCTTCTATTTTCAGAAAAATGGATTTAACTTAAAAGTCTCTGTTGTCTTTGTAAGTTAAGTTTACGGGATGCAATCAGAAAAAAGGTATCTTACTAGCAGATAAATATCTAGTACCTCTCAACTCTGGTTTCAGAATTCCCTTCACGAACCCTTCCTAAAGGGCCTTCATGTGTTTTTTCTATTTTTCAGCAAAACCACTAGGTCTGCACTCATTGTGTTTTAAAGGGCACCAAATACATACTGAAAGCTCTTCATAGACTTTCATAGATGAGACATACTCACAGACTTAGGTGCTTCACAAGGTGATTTTAGTATTGAACAGAGTTTCCACGGTTGCCTTTTATCTGTCTTTTTTGTTTCCTGTGCCCTCCAGACTCTTCAGCTGTGACAGTTGCATACAATAGATTGTGTTATATAGATATCATATAGTGTATTGTGCCCAGATGTGTTCTTTCAGTATTTCATATTTTCTGTTAAGAAAAACTTCTTTGTTTCCTAGGTATTTTCTTTTGTAGTCTTTTGTTCAGTGTTCTTTCTGTGTCACGTGTGAAATTAAAGTAATGCTTAATGTGAGGGTGGGGGTGGCAATGTTCAGTATGTTTTTGCATCACATGCAGTACACCTAGAAATCTCTCCATATACTAGAGGAGATAGCTACCTTATGGAAGTCTTGCATGACCTCCATCTAGAGAGATTCCTATTCATGCATGCTGGGTTTTATTGTTATTCAGAGGCACCCGATTCTTCCAGTGCTTCCTTTATAGACCCAGATGTCCCTGAGAGTTACGGTTTCTGTCAGTGGGAGGAGATTCAACTGGCACTGTACCACTGAACCTGCATCTTTCTTCTACATTGCTTGTTTGGTTAATTCCCCATTTCATACAGACTTCTGCCCACAACCCTGAAGGCAGACTGTGTTTAATCAGGTGGTGCAGTGCATGTGTGATAAGGAATTTGTAAATGTCTTATCAATACTTGGTTCTTCAAGATGTTTCCACACCTGGTAAGCCTTGTCAATCTCAGACATACCCCACGTTATACATAAAAGTAGTATCAGCGTTTTGGTTTTATTTGTGCATGCCCAAAATAAAAGGTTTTCCTGGTTTAGCTTTAAGTTAGAAAGGCTAGTTCTTAACTTTATTGTTCTGGCAGAAGATCACCTTATGGGCCTGGAAAACTAATGACATTCATCCTAAGGAATGGAAGTTGGAGTTTTAGGAATAGAGGGTCTATTTAGTCAGATTCTTTATAATTTTATTTTTAAATCCAAACTCTGGTCAACCATCTGACAAGTAGTTGGGAGGAGCATTCTCTCGGTAGGAGAATATACCTTACCTCCACTCTAATTGAGTGCTGAGAAAATTAATGATCCAGGGGCGCTGTCTTTGAGACTGCCCTACAGCAAGGTGAAGAAAGAAGGTCAACATTTAGGATGTTCCTGACTCTGTTTTGGGAAAAAAAAAAATTATATAAAAATGTAAGAAAATCACTAGTAAGAAAAGGTAATGCCATCCTGAAACATTCAGAAAGAAATAATAAGAAAAAGTACCTATGGTGGTTAGCTTGGAAGATTTTTGCAAGTAGAACAAATTGAACTCTTCTGGATTCCTCTTGTGGAGTCAGATTTCTGCTTTTACCAGGGTTCTTGATCAGAGGAGACTTTACAGCTCAAGCAGCAGGAAATTGAAGAGTCTGTATTTCTGCCTATTTTCAGCAGCTTTTAACTCTTTCTCTGATCAGCAGATGAATTGCTGGCATATGGTTTGGAGCACGAATCAAAGCCACACGTGCTTCCAAAGACTTCTGTTTGAACTGAGCGTGATGCCGCTCCTGCGCTGGTTTATCAGATTCCCCCCAGCTTGCTTTTTGCTGCGGATGTTTTGCCATGTGCTAAGCGTACGTGTAGCACGCGTGGGGGAAAGACTAATCTGTAAGGAGACTCTTAAGTGCTGCCAATTCAGCAGCTTTGTTGAAATCAACTATTTTCCTGAGAAGACTAAGGTGATTCTGTCCCTTCGATCACTAGTTCTAGTCAAACTGTATATGCCTGACCTGACAAAGATGCATGTAGAATAACAGCCCAGCCTCTGTCAGAGTATCTGACATCAGGTTACTGTTTACTTTTGCTTGCATCCATGGTAATGGTCATATCCAGTTTAGTTTAATCAGCAGTTGACTGTAACATGGGAGGGGGGAGCATATGTGTGTATATATATTATCTAGGCTGTATTTAGAAGTTCTTGACAGAAATAAATAAACCGAGCTAAGTAAGAGATCACACTGCTTTTGTCACCAAACCCATGTTGTTTGGAGTGCTGTTTTTTATAGATTTTTTTTTTTCATGCTGGCAAGAGAGCCCTGCACTGAGAGCTGAAGTGTGAGGTACTGTTTCAGTTAGATACATTGCAGACTTTCTCTGCAGGATAGGGGTATGAATTTACTCTTGGGAAGGAGGTCAAATAGGGGTTTCTTATTCATTCAGCTCCTTATGGGAATTGCTCGCTTCCTACTGAGGTGGTCAAGGATCATAAAACAGTCACAGACAAAATGCTTTGATATTTTTGTCCCTTCAGACATGATGCAATTGTTGCAAAATTAGTGGTTTTGTTATAAGAGTGAAAGAATTTCACTGCAGGAATTAATTGATCCTGAAAGACTCCTCCTTTACTTCATCCACCGTAATCAAAAACTTATATATCTTTGTGGAAGCAGAACTTGTTTCAGAGTTTGTAGACAAAATGTTGCTTTATGAATATTTAACAGTGATACTGTGATAGGAAATAAAGGCCACATCTGGACAAGAACTGCATGAGACACTTCATGTCACCATGGTTTATCTAGCAGCTGTGTGATAGGTTGGGTCCTGTTAAGTCATTGTCTTTCTGGGAGGAAAGGGAGAGATGCTGCTCGAGCGGTGATAGTTGGTTCCAGCTTTTGGCTACACTGTACAGACAGTCCTGCCCAACCTCTCACTACCAAAGAGTTTATACTTTAAGAAATAGTGGTAACGTTTGCCTGAAGAGATGAGCTTTATCAGGGAGACACAGCAGAGGAAAATTAAAAGAGGTTCCCAAGGCAGAATAAGATATTGGAAACAATGGGCTGCGCTCGGCTCTGCGTAGGTGTCGGCTGATGAGCTCATCATGGCTAGCTGTTGTCAGGCAGCAGGTTTTGGTGCTGATCTGGCCCAGATGAAGTTACGTGGTTTTACACGTATTCACTGATGGTTTTGTCCTGCTCATGCGGCAGGCTAAGGAAGCATGAAGGTATTTGTACGGGAAGTAGAAACATGGGTGACCAAAACAGGTACTGATATCCAGTGATAATAAAGTACAAAGTGCAGAAGAATATTGAAGTAATACTTCAAAAATAGCTGATACAGGAGGGGTACTTCAGACTTTTGAACTGACTGTTTAGTTACAAAAGCTGATTAAGCTTTTGGGTGTTCTAGGGTTACTCTAGAGTCATGGTTTTCTAGATTATGTTTTACACTTTTTTTTAATGCAGTGAGTGACATGATGTGAATCCATTAGGCTAGTGAATCCTAGCAAAGAGGCTGTGCCATGTCAGAGGAAACACATGGCATACGGGATATTAACTCTGAGAGCTCTCTCACTCTGAAGCCCCTTTTCAGTGCTCAGACAGTTAGCTCTACAGATCAGTTTTGTATTATTTACTGGGGCTTTGGGATGATGTGTTGAACCACTGAGCCTTTAAGCTAGTGCTTTTATGCCAAAATATTTATGTTGATGTAAGGGAGTAAAATTTGGCCTCAAACCTCATTGAATTGAAAAATGTATTAAAATAATACATGTTGAAAGAAGAATTTGGCATTGACTATGACTAGAGAAAAGAGGAAAAGAGGTTAAAACCTTGATTACTTTTTGTTCTATTTACCTAATCCAGAGTTCAAAATTATTCTGTGTTTTAATTAAAGCTTGGCAAGGTCTCTTCTGCTGTTCACTACAGGAAATGAAGAAAGGGGGAGAGAGGTGGGAGAAGAGAACCAACTGTTTGCCTAATTGTACTGAGTGCAGCTAGATGCCAAAAATGCATGGGGACATATAACAAGATCTATGTTGCTGTCTCAGTCTAACAGCTTTTTAATAGATTCATCTGTCAAATCCTATTACTATTACTGTATGATTTAAAAATTAATCTTGGGGTTTGGTTTACTTCTTTCTCTAATGAACTATTTACAGGGTGCCTCATTAATACTTCCGAGGTAATATAGAGAATTGGAGGAGAAAACCGCACCTGGGGAATGGAACAATTCCAGATTTAGTCTTTTGGGGTTTTCTCCTTTTATAAGAATATATTTTTTAAAAATTCTTTGGGAACAGCTACACTTGTGCTTATAAAATCCTAACCTGTCTTTTGCAGAGAAGATTACCATGAAGACGGGTTCTGTCAGCCATACAGGGGAATTGCGTGTGCACGGATCATTGGAAACAGGACCATTTATGTGGATTCCCTACAGATGCAAGGGGAAATTGAAAACCGCATTACTGGTAAGCTTGTACATCTCTGTAGCAAGGCAAAAACATTTGTGAAAGTATCCAATTCAGGTATAAATAGTGCTATCATCCTCTTCAGTTTTATCAGTCAATGACTAAGACATCCTTACATTAAGGTTCAGAGGAGGGAGCCATCTTCCCACTTGTGCACCTAGCAAAATTTGAAGCAAGAAGGATGAAAATCATCTGTCGTGTAGAAGGTTTTTCCATGTTCTTAAGTAAAATGTCAGAGCATTGACTTTTTAACAGTTTGTAGTTTATAATGGAGCTTTTTGTGTGATGGATTCAAATAGATTTTTTTAAAAAAAAACAGTATGTGATGTAATAAAAAATTACTGTTTTTCTATTTTCTTGAAAAATGTCTGGTGGCTTTTCCCTTGGGTTTCCTCCCCTATTGCATAATCCTGGCAGAGTCTGGATTTCACACTGGTGTATATAAAACAAGAGTTGACCTTCCTGTGCTCTGCCCCTGCTGATTCTTTCTCTGATCACCATTTTGGTACAGAGTCACAAACATGCATCCAAAACCTTAATGATTTCTGATGGGCTGTACATCAACATGGGTTTTCTTCACTGGACCTCAGTTAGCTGACATCAGCAGCTGTGACTCTGATGTACACAAACAGAGCAAACAATGAATCCATGGAATACATCAAACTGTTTATCATAATATATGGTCAATTAACTCAGTCCAGCAGGAGTTTTTTGCATCTGGCCAGTTATGGCTAACTAATTGAAGCTGCAATTTTGATGTAACTAGTTGCCAAAAAGAGTTTGAGCTCTGTCTCCTTAAAGGTACTACCTTAAAGGCTCATTGTCAAGCCAGAAATCCAGGTCAGTTTTTTTTCTGTTCTTGAGATGGTAATCAGATTCTGGGACTGGCAAAATCCAGGCGCTGACCTTTCTTTGTGCTGTTACGACTCATTCCCCTTCCTTCTTTCTCTTGTACTCCGTTGTAATTCCAGCCTCTTTTGCCATTATGTCGTTAATTATTACACACTATTGATACCATTTTTTTCTATGACATACATAATCTCTATCCTGTTTAGATGTTTTTCAGCAATATGGAAATGTCCAGCTATCTGAAATTATTACATTTGTAACTCCATGAATTAGGTTCATAATGTCCTTTTTAAAAAAAACAGCCAAAAAACTGTGATACATTTAAGAAAATGTTTATTGATCAAGTTATACTTGTTTCTGGAATATACAACATGGACATTCATGACCTGGCTGCTGGATCCCTAATACCACTGATTAATTGGTTAGATTTTGGAGGCTGAGTCTGGGATTCTCTGTCCTGGAGTTGAGGAGAACTTCTGATGGAACTGTTCTTTTTTAGGAAAACTCTGTGAACCACCGTGTAGAGCTGCCCAGTGGCTTGCTAGGCAGTAATGATAATCCATTAATAATATGGCATTTTCAAACTATATACATCTGAAGGACATGCCAAATACTTTATGCAAAATAACCCTGAGGATTTCAGAGCATACTTGGTTCTTACCAGTCTTTTCATACATAAAAGCAGTATTGCAAGACTGGGTGTTCTCTGTCCAAATGACAGCATATTTTTGAAATTGCAGTAACTTGTTAGATAAAGAAAAAGTCTCTGTTGTATAACTGCTGCTGAGATTTTGCTCGTACTTTTGCCCGTACTTCCTAAGAGCAGTTTTTGGTAGAAGGTTTTTGCGCTCCGTGCCATAGGGTGTTCGGAGGAGGCTGTGGGTGGGAAACGGTGACACCTACCGCCTGACACCCAGAACATTTAACAAGGTTACAGGCAACATCTATGGGGAATTTTCTTTCTGGATTTTCATTTCCCTGCTGTGCTGATGTGTGAAATACTTTCCCTTTGTCTCTACGGCCCCTGGTGCCATTCAGCACTGGCCATGTGGTTAGGTGAGAATTGCAGTCTTCTGTTGAAAAAAGATGTTTCTGGAGAAAAACTTGAGACATGATTTGAATGACTGGAAGGCCAACTACAGTGCATGGGCCTGACCCCTGACTTGTGGATATGTGTGGCTAAGCAATGTCTTTGCTGTGCTGCTTAACATCTTTCTAATAACTAAAAAAATAAACCCATTAGATGCCACCGTACAGACCTGCTGGCTTTTGCGCCTCCCATCAAAATAAGGACATGATTATGAATTGTGCAGTCTTTGCACATGCCAATCTAAATTCTGTAACACCTTTACAAAAATCAGTGTGGTGTTTCAAATAGCCAACAGTGAGCGCTTCACTCCTCCAGGTTTATCTTTTCTCTGTTAGTCTTTGGTATAAGCACGTCACAGCTGTTGTTTGAGGCCTGATATCATGCTTGCATGCAGTGTTCCTTACATGACTGATAAACAGTTATATTCCATTGTTAATATTCCTGTATTAAAGTAAGCAAAGGTGTAAACAGTGCAAGGCTGGAGTTGGGGCTGCCTGCTGTACGTGTGGTGTTTAGGAAGAGTCAGTCTGATAGCATGTGGCAGCAGGAAGTAGATGGCTGAAAGGAGAAAGAGCTGGACAACAGGGCAAGAGTTGATTTGTAGGTTGTAAATGCTACTGAATGACTTAAACTGCTCATGTCCTCTCTTTGCACAGTGTGTGTTGGTGGAATGTGCAGTCTAGCAAGCCTCACTCACAAATGATGCCAGTGTGGGAACAATGAACACTCCTACATTTAAAGCTTGATTCATCCCCAGATATGTGTTACAAACGCATGTTTGTCTTTTCTTTGCAGTGTGCAAGAAAACTCTCAGATAGATGTTAGTGTGTAGATGCTGAGAGCTGAAGGGGAGGATTAAGTTCCAAATTCATTATGACATTCATCTTAATGTGATCAGTATGCTGAGGTTGATTACAGTCATTTTTCCCAAAACTGATGCCTGTTCATGTCTATTAATAACAATATGTGCCCAAATACCAATGGTGCACTTCCTTTTGCCCGTCAAGACTTGAAAAATGCTTGTCTTGTTTATTGATCAAAATGTCTACAGGAGGAAGAAGGTAGGTGATCCTTGTTCAGCTTTTACCTAATTAGAAACTTTGGAAATACATGTCAACATCTTGGCAGGTGTATCTTGCCTTCACTTTTTATTCTTTCAAGTTAAAATTAGTCAAGTGCCATCAGTTTGCTCAGTGCTCTTTACTTGGGTAAATTCCTAAGAACTGAGATCCTACAAGCTCTGTGCAGATGTCAGAGGGACACTGGGATGCTGGGTTTGCTTTCTGCATTCATCAACTCACCTTTACAGAAGAAATTACCCTATTTCTCTGCTGCTCAGTAGGCTTTCAGACACTCCAGAAAAGATGAAAGTTGTAAAAGGCAAATGATATGAAAATTATGTTGTTTTTCATGCTTTTTGTGAATTAATACTTAAGCAGTATTTTTGTTCCTTTCCAGCTGCATTTACCATGATTGGCACTTCCACACATTTGTCTGATCAGTGCTCACAGTTTGCTATACCATCCTTCTGCCACTTTGTCTTTCCCCTGTGTGACGAGCGCTCTCGGACCCCTAAGCCACGGGAGCTGTGCCGGGATGAATGTGAAGTTCTGGAGAATGATCTCTGTAGGCAGGAGTACAACATCGCTAGGTCAAACCCGCTCATCTTGATGCAACTACAGTTGCCGAAGTGTGAGGATCTCCCACGACCTGACACATTGGAAGCTGCCAACTGCATAAGGATAGGGATCCCCGTGGAGAGACTCAGCCGATGTAAGTCTGAATGTTTCATCACTGGGAAAAAGCAGGTTTTGCTGCTTCCTCAGGTTGGGTCTGAGAGACAGTATTTTATCAGTTATTCTTTTTATAAAGAAAGTACTGCTGTACTGGATGCTACTACTTTTTATCATGTTGATACTGACCATAATCTTGCAGTGTTGTAAGGTATAGTTAGGATGGTGTGGAAGTTTAAAGAATGCAGCTTAGTACAGAAAAGGGTTGTATCAACCACCCTGGGCTGTGAAGCTCTGTGTTCACACCACTGATTTGACTCAGATTTGTGAGGGGCAGCAGTATGTTGCAGGCTTCCCTTCCCACATGCCTGCCCCCACCTCTGGCTGAGTTCCTGCCTTTCTGGATGAGTCCCCCCATATAGTTATTTGTGAGTTCTGTTTACCTATCAATAAGCCTCAGACAGGCTATATAAGCTTCACTGGAAAAATCTGTTGAGAAATCAAACATTTAATGTTCATTTTTGCTATATGGAAATCCACAAGAATATTAATCCTGTAAATCGAGCATGGAGTGTAATTGTCTTTCTTCACCCACACAGGATAGGTGAAAACATTGATCTTGCTTCTGCAAATTTATATTTGCATCCAGGAGTAGAAGGGCTGTTCTGTTGTCAGTAATTATGTGCTGACAATTTTTTTGCCTACTCCGTTTCCTAGCGATTAATCGCCACCCCCTACAATGTTCAACAAGCTCCAAGAGACTAAAGATGTTTAAAGCTCAAAGTGTGATAAGATTATTCTGAATATCCATTGTCTGAACTCACAGGTAGGAGCAGGGTTCATAAAGGTGAGCATGGAAGACTAGCTGTGTGCTAGTAAGGCAATAAGCTAGTGTAGCTTAGAAGCAGAAATAACTGAGAAAACGATGACAGAGACAAATCAGCCAGGGAAGAGGTATCAAGCAAAAGGAATGAGAATAAAAACAACAAAAAGTCTGGCAAAAGCCATCCATGATCCTCAGAGCCAGTGGTGCTCCCCTATAGTGGAACAGCTGCGGTGGGAGTACTCTGGGGGTCTGAAGGAAGGGCTTTGAGACAGCTGGATTGCTGAGGGCTGGAGAGGGGGGCTCAGAAAAATGGGGACAGTAATGTTGCAAACATACAGAAATGCATGATTCAATTCAGGGGATACATACGGGAGACAAGCACTCAAAAAGTATGAAGAGAGGATAGCAGCAAAACAGAGAGAGAATAAAGGTAGGAGTTCAGCAGATATGAAAGTGGTGTATCTAAAGAGAAGAAAAGCCCGAATCCCTCCTTTCCAAAGAAGAAAAGAAGGCAAAATTGGCAAGAGACATTAGAAAATGCAGCACTAATTTCTCTAGAAAGTGAGCAGTGTGAGGGAAACAGGAAGATTATGGGAAATAAAAGTGGCAGGAAGTTTACACTGTTGGCATCTGAAGACTGTTCCTGAAGTGAAACTCGTATCTCTAATTTAGTTTAACTTTTCTTGTCCTGTGTCCAAAGGTTCATACTTGCTCCTTAGTATCAGCTTGCATTCAGAGTTACCAAATATTGGTGTGTATAGCCATAGAGTTGAGACACTCCAGGGCAGAATCCCAAAATAACTGGGTGTAAGAGTACAGGTACTCATAGAACTGAAATTTCAAAACCCACAGCTTTTATTTAAATCCTGAAGTACATAAATTCAAGTCCTTTTTGCATCCATGGTCTATACACTTCAACCCTTTTGGTCTTGCTGGCTCCTCATTGTTTTCTTATTTGCAACGTTTTGTCAAACCCTGTGTTGCAGATCATCAGTGCTACAACGGTTCTGGAGCAGACTACAGAGGGATGGTCAGCGTTACCAAGTCTGGACACACTTGCCAACTCTGGGACTCCCAGAGTCCCCATAGCCATGATCTGACAAGCACACAGTTTCCAGAGCTAGGTGGAGGACATGCGTATTGCCGAAATCCTGGAGGTCAGATGGATGGGCCCTGGTGTTTTACAAAGAATAAAAACGTACGCATGGAACTGTGTGACATACCTTCTTGTAGTATGTATTCTCTTTCTTTTTTCCCCTACTACTGTCCTTGTAATCTTATGTAATTTTGAATGCTCCCTATTCAAGTGCAATTCACTTAGAAGGGTTATGCTTTCAAGCATTTTACTTGCTGTAATGCAGCACCATTGTTTGGTGTTGGAGGTGTTTAATATTCTCTGGCGATCAGAGCTTGTAACTGAGATATTGTGACACTTTTTTATTATGTATTGGGTGCTTAAGCTGAGGTAATAATTAACGATACTGCTGCAGTTTGTATTCTAGCTTGTCAAATGCCAGGCTTGACATACTTATCACCTGTATGTCTTTGGTTTGCTCACGCTACTCTGGTATATTGCTTTCCCTCTGTATGGCATCTTGCAGGCAGCAAGGATTTTCAGTTCCTGTAGAGGGAGATATAGCACCGTGCTTGGTTGGAAGGAAACCCTGTGAAGTGCAGAAGCAGAGATGTCATAAAACAGATGATGGTATCAGAAGAGTCCTACACTATCTGCTAGTGGCTCTGTACTGCACAATTGATAGCAAAAATAAAAAGCACAGCTCTCACAGCTTAATACTGCCCCACTCACTTCCTTGTATTAGTACAGCCTTCACTCTAGAGCTGTTACAGTGGTAACAGTCTGTGGACACTGCAAAGCAACTTAATACTGTGCTTCATTAGGAAGAAAAACATGTTTCCTACAGTAACCGATGTATCGTGGAAGCCATAAAAGTGGTTTTGTTAAAGATTTCCTCGGTACTTTAAGAGCATGCAAAATGGATATGAAGTTTCTCAGTTAGTTCACTTTTTTACAGTAACATGATTTGACATTTATAATAAATTTCTACATTGCATGTAACATGGTGAAAAGATAACACTGGGATGTGGTTGTGGTGAAAGCAGTAGCCAGAAATAGCAAAACCACAGATTGCAGAAAACATCCCAGGCAGTTCCGATGAGCGTTTTGGACATCACTATGCTTTCCAGAGTCTCATGGTATCACGAAAAAAGCATTTCAGGAAGGTTCCAGAACAGTCTTACTAAATGTATTGCTGGCTTTTTCATGACTGTCTCACTGTAATATAAAAGCACTTTAATTCTATTACGCACAGAACGTATCTCTGCTGGTGAGAAGTGAGATTTATTTTATTCTGGGCAGAAGTAGTACTAGTGGAGGTAGAAAGTGGGCAAAGTGCTGATGAAATGGCTGAAGTTGGGCAAGAAGACCAGACTGCAATGTTGTGCTGTGGTTTATCACATTGAGTTCACTGCTTTATATACTGTGATGAAGGCTACTCATTTTTTATCCCCTGAACCAGGTAATGCAGTGGTACCCTCTGTTCAATGTTCTGCAGTTTCCACAAGCAGACACCTCAAAAATAGAGTGAAATAAACCACATGCTGTTACAGTCAACACATTGAATGTGGGAGTCCTAGTTTATGTTCATGCTGCTAGTTGCTATGTCCATTCAAGCTTCCTTGAAATATTTAATGGAAAATTGGAAGCGGGGGGGATAGTGTGACTTCTGTTTTCAAGCTATAGGAGTTTACTTTTTGTTTAAAATATAGTACTAATAATCATACTGTAATTTTTTGTTCCCCCTTTACTATCAAATGCATTAAAAATACTTGTTGTAAACAATGAACATTTCTGTGCCTGACAGGTCCACGTGACAACAGTAAAATGGGAATCCTCTACATCCTGGTTCCCAGCATAGCTATCCCTCTGGTTATCGCCTGCCTTTTCTTCCTGGTCTGTATGTGCAGAAACAAGCAGAAGGCATCTGCTGCTACACCACAGCGCCGCCAGCTGATGGCATCTCCTAGCCAGGACATGGAGATGCCACTCATTAATCAACACAAACAGGTATTTTTTTACAGAATTTGCTTAGGCCACCTATTTCCAAAGTGTCATGATTTTTCACTGTCTCAGGTTGTCAATGTTCGAATTGAGCCATGTTGTAAGGGACCTAATTTTCATACTGTGCTGGCCATCTACTTCAGTGAAAACCAGGTCTTTCACTCACTAACGGTTTCTAGAAATCCTGGCCTCGGGGAACAGCTTTCAGGACCAAGTATTTTATGACATTTGCCCTTGCGTGTCAGTATCCATTCTGCCTCTTGTCTCAGTGCCTGGAAATGTTATTTCTGGTCCAGTCTTCAGCCTGCAGCTTGTTTTCGGTCCTGGTAACGGTGCTGCCAGTTTGCTTGTTTAAAGCAGGACGCACAGTGGGGTTTCTTGTCTAATCTGTCAGCTCGGTCTGCTGGTATTCTCCACCACCACTGAGCAGGGAGCTGAGCTGGGGTGCAACGTATTTCTAAGGCTGCATATCCCAAAGGATAAGAAAATGGCTTTGAACTTCTGTCTACAGACCTCAGCTCCTGCATATGATTTGCTGGGTCAACTAACTGATCTCCACGCTAAAATTCTCTTCAGAGCCAATGTTGAATTTTTAATCACAGCAGTTACAAGATGCAAGCTCTAAAAAACAATGCTCAATTTGGAACAATTGGCAACATCTGTTCAGGAAACTGTAGAATATTTGTGGGATCTCACCAATTGCAACACTTTGAGTCCTGCACTTTGGTCACAACAACCCCGTGTAACGCTACAGGCTTG